GGCAGACATGGGGCACAGCATCTCCTGCTGCCAGGACTCAGTTATGCCCACATGCATTAGTGTAAACTCTGATACCTGCAAAACTAGGCGTGGGTTCATGGATGCCAGCAATACCCGTCTTACACGCTGCTTGGAAACGATGCTCTGCTTACTGTGGGAGAGCCATGTGAGCATCTTGGTCCTCATGGACCTTTTTTGTGCTGTCAGTTGTCATTTCCCAGGCCCCAACAGGTCTCTTCAAGCCACATGCCCAGCAGCTGTGTGGGACTCTATCCTCATGAGGATGTATGGATGTATGCAATCCCAAGGCAAAGGCCTTAAGTTATCCAACGAAGACGTGGGAATGAGATGAAAGGTGCCTTCTGCTACATGTTTGCTGAGAGGAAAGTGACTCATTCAGTGGCAGGGGTAGGCAGCTAAAATGCAGAGCACATCTCTTCATTTAAGGATGAATCTACCTTAATCCCATTGTAATTTTATTTATTTAAGAACAATGATGGAAGAGATTGCAAGAAGAATGTCAGCATGTTCTAAGGTACCACTTGGGTATGGTTTCTTAAAACTAGTCCCCTAACACTGAAGACTTAGTTGCACTACTAAACCCAGAAATACAAGATAAATGGGTTTAATGAACTGGACAACACACCAAAGGAGACCTCCTTGTGCTGAGCTGCTACTCAACAGGAACAGAAACTGCCTTAACATAGCAGCTAGGTTTTGTGGTTTTGTTTTCAAAAACCTCATCAATGCAGTTCTTCACATTTTCATTTGTCATGTTGTGTTTTAACAAGGTCCTGACTATTTCACCTTGAGCTGTCATTAAAACACTCATCTCCATCCTGTCATGGCCAGGAGCCGTGTCCTGGCAGTGTTGGGTTAGAAGATACTCCACTTGTGATGTCTGATACTTCTAGGAAACACAAGGCATAGAGGAAACATCGGCTCCAGTGAATGAGATGGAGGAAGCACATTAATCCAGCAGGTACTCAGGATCCTAAAGTAGATTTAAGGAGCGGGATCAGCAGCTCTAAATACAACACTCGCCCTTGCTTTTGACAGAATGGTAAATAGAACAGTGGCGTTGCACAGTCACTGTTCAAACACTGCACAGAGAAGAGATGCCTGCTGAGATTAAGGTTACAAAGAACTTTCCCACAGTTAAGTAGCAGGTGACTGTTTGGGCAAATGGTTATTACACTAGCCTAAGGGAAAAGGGATCAATCTCCCTTTAGTAAGCTCTGCAAGGGAAGCAACTGTAGACAAGAAACAAGTAAGTGTAAAGGAAAGGCAAGTCATTAGCACTTTATCTTAATATAAACTTATATCAGCAACTTGCCGCGGAGATGAACAAGAGATCAATTAATGACAACAGAACCATTTTGCACAGAGAAGCAAGAAGTGAAGTTACAGGCAGTGCTGGATGCACTTGTCCTACTTAGAATGGTAAATTCCAGATATGCCTCTACATCAAGCAAACTCTATTCCCCGCTCGGCTATAAAAAGCAAGATTGTTTTAACCAAAAAGCCAAGAAAGGAAGTGTCTGGGTGCTGCAGCAACGATTCCCTTAGACTGAGAGGGAAAAAGCACACAGCAGGGACAAACAGAAAGAATGTATCTATAGATATGTACATATACCACAGTGCTGTAATTTTTGTATGTAGCAGTAATGTAAATAAATGTATGGTTTTTATAAGATACATATAAAAATCTATAAAGGCATATTTTTAGTAAAAACAATGCTCTACTTCTTTTGTAAATAGTTCTCTTCAGAATAAAACAGATCATTTATATGATACTGTCTCAGCTCTCGAGTCACTGCTTACCTTGCCTAGCTGCAGAACGAGCTCACTTTTTGAACTGTCATCGTAACACCTAACAGCATCTTTAGTACTCCATCAGCCCATGAAATTCAGTCACATAAAGCACTTGCACGTGTTCAGAGGAGAACAGTCCCAGAGAAAGAACATACACAGCCTTTTTATCTCCTGCCACACAGGAAAACAGAAGGGTGAGCTTGTCAATCTTCACCTTCCAGCCATTTGTAGCATTTCCTGGCCTTATGTGGAGAGAGATTCAAACCTGAATGAGTTTAGACACAAAACAGATGGACAACAAAACACATCCAGCTTGCACCAGCTGCAGTTCAGACCATCTACACGTCCTCAGGATTCCCCTCTACACGGTCATACAGAACAGCACAGACAGAAGGAAAGGCTTTCCCACAGCAAAGCTGCCAGCACACTTCTCCAGAAGCAAGGACTCGCCTTCGATAGCCAGCCGGTGTGTCAAGGGCCCGCAGGGGTAAGGGAACGCTACGGGCAACGAGCACAGCGACCGCTGCGGAGCTCCTGTGCAGAAAACCATACCCTCATTTCCTGGGAAAGCAAGGAGACTCCAGATGCTTTTAAATCAACTCAGGCTCTGAACCTTGCTGCCTTTGAGGAGAATCTTTCAAAGCTTGCTCAACACTTTGTAGAACAGAAAGACAAAAGACTCCAGCAAAATCACAACCGTCTCGTTTTCACGCAGAAATGAGGTTACCAGTTCCAGCCTGCTCTTCATTCACATTTGAAAACCAGAATAGCCACTAAACATTTAAAAGCATTAATCATGGTTTTGCCAATACCCCCTCCCAGGGAAAAAAAAACCTTCTAGGTACAGCATAAGAGCTTGCCACCCTCCACCTCCAGATGCTGGACAGCAGAGGAAACAGAGCCTCGAAAAAGATTTGGCAGCTTGTAACCTTTATTTTAGTTTTTTTAAAATTATTTAAAAAGCATTAATTAGAAACTTTCATTACAGAAATAATCCTAGCAAACCAGTTAGACATTCCATTGCTCAACATTTAGGAAACTTCACATCAGCACCACTAGAGAGACAGTCCCCACCCCTTCCATTTGAATAGTCAGTGGCAAGAGCAGAGAGAGAACTGCTCCTCTACGGCCAGCTCTAGGAAAAAAGAAAAAAATCCCACTTCAAGCCAGGAAGTTGGACCCCTGGATTGGCAGAGTTCAAACCATGGCCAGGAAGTTGGACCCCTGGATTGGCAGAGTTCAAACCGTGGCCACAAAGACCTGGACTCAAAGAGGACCAATCTTTCCATACAAGAGAACACTCCAGGCTTGGGTGCACCATTTCCTCATTTTATTGCATCATTTCCAGTAAATTCAGACATTTTCTTTACTTCTGCCTATATGAAGTTACTCTCTCCTAGATCTGCACACACTCTACCACAACAGTCCCGAAGTAACAAAGCTGGGCCCTTCAATCTGAAAGTGGTGACCATCACAGGACAGCTTCATTTCAACAGGAAGGCTCTGAGGGCTGACCCAGCTCCTTCCTTGGGCACACACCACATTTGACATCAGAAAGCAGACAGGATGGACTGGTGTAACTTAAGCCGCCACTTGCCATAGCTGCTCAAGCCTTACAATTATCAGAGCTCACACTAGGGTATCATCCCAGCTCCTTCTTATCCTTGGGTTACCAATGAAAGATATGTGAAGAAAAGAGATGGGTGAAGGCAGCTGGATACACACTCCCAGCACCTGAACTGATTTAAAAAAAACAACGTGTTACACATTCATTGTTTGCATTTTTTAAAAAGTCTTTAAAGTGATTGATTGTGATGTGATTGTATGATGAGGGCTCTTACCACAACCCGTAACGTCTAAAAAAAATGCAGGCAAAATAAGTGACTAAAATTTAGCCTCTCCTGAGGGAGGGGGAGGAAGGGAGAGAAGTGGCTGATTCAAAGCTCATGGACATTGGTGAATCATATCCTACCAGACTAAGGCCAGCATTTCCATGGGGCCACTTACTGACAAACTGAGTATGTCCACCTTCAACGTCTCAAAAGAAGTCATCATACCCTCCATGCCTTTTAGTCATTTTAAGGAAAAATTCTTTTTTCATTATTATTTAGGCAATTATTCAGGTGCTGAGCATGTACTTTCAGCCCAGACATTTGATATTTTAGTTACACACACGTACACTCTCCACCTTTAACTACATCTATTCAGGCCGACAAACTGAGCCCTTGTTTTCCCAGAAAGGCCAACAAGGGCCAGGAAAATGTTGCTGAGCATAGCGAGACCAGTTTGTTTCCAAGGGTGATCCTCCACCACCACAGAACCCAAGCAAGCAAGCTTTCCATTTCTTTACATTAAACAGCAGTCCTCCTTGCTAACAGAAGAATCCTGGGAATGATCCTGCAGCAGCTTTCATATTCAGACATCAATCCAGAACAGCTGGATTTATTTTCAAGCCTTTTCTCTCTCAAAAACAAAAGCTTTGCCACCAAAATTCACATTCAAGTTCAGATGGCCTATTTGTGGACAGGGCAATGAGGAGAAGTTTGTGGTTTTTTGGCAGAATCACATGTTTTTTGTTGTTCTCAAAAGAAATGGACCCTCACTTAGGACCCTGGCAGAACCAGAAGCAGAGGTCAAAGGAGTTAAACTTTGCTTTAAAAAAAAAAAACAACCCAACAAAAAAACCCCAACACTTTTATCCAAACAAATTCCACTTCTGCAGGTCAGTTTGTTTTTCAGTATCTTGATACAAACTAAAGGAGAGCACAGATACAGCTGGGCTGCAGCGCAAGAAGGTGAAACCCAAGGACCCAGCCACAAATCTGGATCATGGCAAACTGAAATTCAAGGCCCCAACAGCAGCACCAGCTGCCAGCCCAGGGGCTGGTGAAGTGAAACCCCAGGCTCCAGCAGCAACACCTGCAATCCTGGTACCTAGAAAAACAAAGCCTGAGCCCCAGTAAAAGCCTGGGACTCCAGATGAAGCCGTAGGCCCCAGGGGCACCAGTTGCCAGCCTGGAGCCCAACAGAAATGAAGCTGGAGGCCCCAGGAAGCAGCTGCTGCCAGCCTGGGGCCAACTGGAATTAAGAACTTTGTACTATTTCTTTAAAAAGATGAACTCTGCAGTCCATGATTGGTTGACATTAAGAAGGCATAAGCCAAAGCAACAACAGGGAGGCGAGGCTGGTTAAAGCAATATACATTATATACAAACTCTTGGGTTAATTAGTCCACTTGGTAGGCAACGTCCTTCTTGTCTACAAGGCGCACTGGAATGAGCAGGGGAGGAGAGGGGGGCAAGATTCCATCCGATACCTTCTTGGCACTGAAGTGGTAAGGTGCCAGCGCCTCTTGATAGAAAACATGGAGAAAAAATAATCTTTAAATAACGGCACAAAACTGAGAAAGTCCTCCCAAAGCCTGCCCCAGTGGAATTGCCCGAGTCTAGCTGGAGGGGCTGATCTGTCTGAGAGCAGAGTCTCTGCAGCAGGGAAAGGGCATTAGCAGCATCGCTTCTTCCTTTTACTGTTCTTCGTTAGCTTCACCACATCGTTCTGTTGCAGCTGTAGCTGCTTTGCTAAGTTTTCTTTCTTTGCTCGCAGGACTAGCTCTGTAATGCAATTAAACATCTGCAAGAGAAACAAGCAAGTTCAGACCACCCAGCAACTCAGGCTAGCTTTTGTGGGATGCTCTTCTTTTCAAGCAACTCCACTTTTCTTCATACTCCAATAATGCTCCAGAGATCTTCCCCAACCCATTACAGGCCAAGTGGAAATCCAGTACCTTCCCAACCCGCTCCCAAGCTAAAATCAGTAATACCTCTATCCCCTTTTCCCAAACCAGTGAATAAAAACAGGTCAGTTTGGCAACTGAGGCCAGGAGTGCAGATTGGGCAGTCCTGCCTCCTAGAAGCATTCTCCCTAGTGACAAGTCTTTCCTGACACCATGCCTGATATGTTAGCACTGTAAAGCCAGTGAAAATGCAACGTGGGCTCCTTCATTTTGCTTCCCCAACTCTTCCAAACGCAGCTGGATGCATCTTCTGGTTAAAGCAATATACATTATATACAAATGCATTTTACCTACTTCCTTGCAACTTGTACAAAGCATTTTATCTTTCTTCCTCAATGAGAAGAATGTAATTGTTATTTTTCCCCAAACCATCGTCCCCCAAATTGTTTTCTCTATACTCTTCTGCACATTATATTACCTCTTCCACATTAATATTTTCTTTGGCGCTGGTCTCAAACAATTGGATCTCCATCTGCCCAGCAAATTTATAGGCATCTTCTGTTTCTACCACTTTTCGCTCTGGGTCATCATTCTTATTCCCCACTAAAAAAGGAAACAAACAAACAAACAAACAAACAAAAGTCATTTTGGTACTTCAGCAGGTCAGCCCACTAAATAAGATGTTGTAACTCTCTGATTAGAAACTTACCTAGTATCCGGCAGACATCGTCACAGTTTTGATTAATTTCATGCAACCACCGTTTTACATTCACAAAAGATTCTGCACTGGTTACATCATAGACAACAATGACCCCATGTGTTCCTCTGTAATACCTGTGGAGCAAGCAAAGACAATACATGTGAACTCAAGCTATGCACCACCTTCTCAGCTCTTCCGCTTTCACTTAAGCTTCTACAAGATTCGTAACAAACCCCCCAGTTAGGTCATTCACGTGCCCCCGTTGTCTTTCCACTGGGAGTCATTTAGTTCTTTCACAACAGCTGGATCACATGCTGCTCCTCCAAACCTACAGAGCTCCCTGCTCGTGTAGTCTATAGGTTTCAAAGTCCAAAGACTGCTGTTCACTTCCTTGTTCAGGTTGTCAAGACCTTCAAAGATGAATACTGTCTTCCATCTACGTGAGAAAGGGTAGCGGTGCCCCCAGTACGTCCTGGGAACTGGCTGTGGTGTGAACCTTCGTGCTGTACAAGCCACAGCAAGTTTCTGCAGTAATTTTAACTTCTGTGAAAGATCACTTACAGACTAAAATTTCAGCAGATCTCCAAATATACTCAACCCTCAGTCACAGCTCTCTTGAGCTCACAAAAATTCCTGTCTTGTTGAGCGACTGTGTTCTGATCACACCTTCCTACTCAACAGATCCACTCCATATGTGCACTCAATGCGCTCTGCTACCTTTAAGCCATTAAAAATAAGCTTCATTTCAGTTTATTCCCATTAGTCTTGGGCAACCAGCACCTTTAAAAGATGATGAGCAATTCTGATATGCAAGAAAAATATCTGAATTCAAGATCCAACATTATCACCTGCAGGGACCTACTAAAGGCAGACAGTAAGCACACTGTGAGAATGTTACATAAAAAAAGGCAAGCTTCACCTTCTCAGTTTTCAGCCACAGTGCTACCAGGTATTTTCCCTACTGCAAATTAGGCAGTTTTGACCAAAAAAAAAAAAAGAAAAGAAAATTTTTTTTAAAAGTCATTTAAACAGTTGACAGTGAGGTCTTCACCAGCATCCAGTTTTTATATTTTGTGTAGGTTTATTCTTTTCCTTTCATTTCCACCTCTTTCTTATGATCAATATTAAGATTTTTAATAAAACAAATTCAAGAATCCAGCATACTGAAATCGAGGACTGTCTCTTAAATTGTGACAGCATTTCTAGACCTTGATCTCTTACCACAAGCACCTCTTGCAGCTTCACTCTCCCTTCCACTGCACTTCAGAGATGTCCACTGTGACCACTCTGTGGTCCTCTTTGATTATTCATTCCAACTCAGCAAACACACCTTTAAACTTCAAAGCCTTTTAATCCAATCCAAATGCACTACCTCCCAGAAGAGCTCAAAGCTCTGGCTCACTTCTGCTACTGGATGCACTTAAGCAAGTCATTCTCTCTTCCCTGCCTTTCGCCTCACCATCCCCTCTGCAGCAGAGGCCACCTGTCTTCACAAACCACCAAGACAGGCTTCCACAGACAGGACACATCCCGTACAGAGCACAGACATCTCCCCCACCCCTTTCCTCTTATGACCACTTTGCAGTGACAGTGACCAGGTATCAGTACCCCTTTAGGATACAACACACACTCTATGGGAGTGGGAGAGCTCGCTCCTATTGCTCACCTGGGTGCTTTCAGAAGACAGTCAAATACCTCCTCCATGCCATGTTTTACCAGTAATTTACACTGTACATTCACTTTCCTTGGCAGAAACTAACTCAGGTAAAGAATTACTTATTCCCAGCCCATAAGAGATCCTGCACTTTCAAATATTCTAGTCCAGTCACAATCAGTTCCTTCAATAGCTTTAAGACTTGCTACAGCACTGCATTTGTGCTTTACTTCATTACAAGCTGACCTTTATTTCATAACTTAGAACCTTTGGAAGAAGAAGTATTCCATAGCCTGAACCCACATGTTGCAAAGATAATCCATCCTCTCCTGACACTGACACGTACTGCACACTGGTTTTGATTAATAGTTTTGTGTGATAGCATCAGAAAGGGGGAGATCTCTGACCCTATCAACACACTAGACTTCCCTGCATCTGAGCAATAAACTAATTATCTTCAAACTCTCCCGTATCACCTAATAGTCTTGTAATTCAGCAGCTCTCAGGCTGACCTACCACTTCCTGCCCAACACTGAGCATTACATTTGCAAAGACAACACTCAGGCTTTAGAGCGACGCGATGGTTCAGCTGCACCTACACAGAGCTGCTTCATTCTGCTGTGTGCACTGTAAAACCATGGCTGCTACCCCAGCCACCCGAGCCAGAGGGCCCAGCAGAGCATCCTGCTGCTCCCACCTTGCCCACGCAGCTTGGTTTTCTTCTAAGCAAAGCATATGACGTCAGGGAGTAGAATAACACGCACCCTGCAAGAGATCCCACTCCTGACACATCGTCAGCGCAGGCGTTGTTTGCTCCCAGGGATGAGGGCTGTGGGCTGGACTGTGCAGCACAGACCACTACAGCATTCCAAACTCTGCAGCTCTGGGAGCTCCTGCCACAAAGCACGAGTATTGCCAACCACCTTTCATCAGAAATATCTTCCTTAGTGCAAAACAGCAACCCCTGCCTGACTCCTGCTGAGTTCCTACCACCACACACTGCTTCTATTTTTGGAAAGGAAAGCTGTCTGGCACATGGTTCTAGAAAGGTTGCCAACCCCTCACCTACACTAAAACCTCAGTTTCTCCATCGACTGACACCACCTTCCAGCAGTCCCAGAGATCAGACCATGACCACCTTCTATTCTCTAACTCTTAAGCCCCATAATACATGTTTTTCTCAAAAAGCTCATTGTGCTATTTTCTGTCATTTCTTAGATACCACCCTACATCCTAGACAACATTTTAGGCTTAACAAGTACATCAAAGATTCTCCAGCCTCAAGTGCAGGACAGTACTAGAAATCAAAACCTGATTAATCCTACCCCAAACTTCAAGTTTCAGAACGATGCAGTGCAGAATTGCTTTTATAACAAGTTGTAGGCTTTGGTGAGCAGAGAACAGATGGGGCTTTTGGCATTCAGGGAGGAGTAGGTGTAAATTTTGTGCTTCTGGCAACCAAGAGGTAGTTGAGGCTTTGACACTAGGGGAAGAATGCCTTATCTTCTTCCCATCCACATTTTAGGGAAGGTGGAGACCATAGAAATGACAGCAGAAGAGAAATGAGGTTCTCAATCTCAGCCTCCCATGGAACAGCTAAGTGACTGATGCTGGCTGTCCTCTATGTGCTAGATGCTTTCTGCCATGTACCCTACAAACCTCCAAAGCCAGGACCTGCTACTATTCCTAGTGAGGAGTAAACTAATGAAAAAGAGGAGGGGGAAAAAAAAAAACCCACTTCTAGAACAGTTATTCATGTTCATAGTGTCTATGAAAGTATCCTGTAGAGGTGAAAGGCAAACAAACCTCACTTGTAGATGCCCTTGGATGCTTGGGAGTAGCCAACTATCTTCCATATAGCTGGAAAAGTTACCTAGATCTAAAGGCTTTACATTTAGCTTTGGTGTGGAAAAGGCTTATGAATGGTAACATTTAAGTTGAAATAAACACAGTACCACCTCAGTTGCTTGTTCTAACTGAAGAATTCTATTTAAAGAAGCTTAAAGACATAAGCTTACTGCCTCTGAAACACTGCCTACTAATAATGCAGACTTGATACAGAAAACCTTCAGAACTGGTTAACCAAACTCATCGTGTCCTTCAGCCATCCGCATTCTCCCCTCACATCTCTGAAGACGACTCTCCTAAGCAGAAGGGAATATTTTGCATTTCAGCGTGGTACTCCCTACTACAAGATACCACTAAGAAAGTTCTCAGATTTCCTCTACTCAGTGCTTCCCAGGATTAGCATCTGGAGTTATAACAACTAGTTTCATGAAGCATGGCGGTAGCTCAATCAGATTTAGAAAAGACAGATCACGACTGACTGCATCAGTTCTGTAGGGCACATATGTTCATTTTTCCAGGAAAAAAAACCAAAATGTAACTGGCCAACTTGAAAGATGGGTCACTGGTCACATCCAACATCTTGGATAATATTGCACTACTTTGTAGTAAACGTTTCCTTGTTTTTCAGTCCTCTAGGAGAATTCTAACCAATTCCAGAGACTTCTAATAATCTGTTTTGATACTCATCTTTTTTTCAGGTTCCTGGAAGCACGTCTATTGACACAGGTCAGTTTGACCACCATATCTGGTTTACAAGACACAGCAACCCTATCATCTCAAAAAGCTTATCCCTCTCTTGAACACACCACTCCACACAAATGCATGGCAGAAAGTCCCTCTGCTATCACTATTCATCCCGAGCTAGCATCTGACAACTATTATTTAAAGCTTAAATCCTAAAACCACAGGCCTGAATCAGGACAAAGTAGTCCTGTCTACAAGAGCAAATCAAGTACAGGAACTGGTTGGTCATGCATCTTAAGTATTCCTGCTAATACAGATGAGTCCTGGCATGCTACATCTCTGGTGAATTTAAATCAAATGCAGAGTTTGGATGATGTTCCATGCCAACCAAATTCACACAACTTGGCCTCTCCTCCCACTAGGCACCAGCTAGCCCAGTATTTCCACATTTAACAGACAGTAAAACCAGCTGCTTTTATACTTCCCAGTCTGAAATTCTGATCTAGTTTATTTTTCCTGAGCTCCTGTAGAATACTCCAGATCAACTTGATTTCTGTTCCTTAACAGTTTTATTCTGTTCTTCAGCTTCTGTAGCTGTAATCAAGTCAACTCAAAATAGTACATAACCTTTTAATGTCTCCCAGTTTTCTACTATTAACTTCCTACCCCCTCTACCCTTTTGCAGCTCTCAGTCTACACAGCAGTACTTCCAACCTCTTACTATTATTACCAGATGGGCTCTAATTTCAGACTTCCTTGCCAGGCTTGGCTCCACATCAATCTGAACTCTACCTTTAACTGTAAAGGGACTTCCTGGCCTACAGTAATACTGAAGGAACACCTTTTTATATTCTTAACCTCAATCTAAACCTCAGTCTAGTCAAAGACTAGACAAAGACTACTACGCTGTTGACAGTGCACTCGCACTCCACCCATGATTTGGTAGCCAAGCCCTGTTAAGTACTAGCTCGGTAACTCAATTTGTCACCCAGTTTGGGATATGCAAATCAGTTCCAGTATTACTTTGCCAATTAAAAAAAAAAAAAAAAAAGATAGAACCACTGCTGAAATCCAAATCTTGTTATCTCCTGTGTTACTAGGTGTTATGTTTAGGGCCAGAGCACCTCTTGAAAAATATCAGCAAAAGCTGGACAGTCACAGCTAGCCAGACTAGCAGTAAGAGGAGTCCTCACGTCAGTGTAACCAGCATTCCCAAAGTGTTTTCCTAAACATTTCAAATGCACTCAGACACAGGAACTTCTTTGCTTAAAGATGCACAAAACTCAAATCTTTCTTTGCTGACCATGGAAGATTCTGTAACTACCAGAGTTAAGGCAGGAAAACTAGGGCCTTCACTTCCCCAAGAGTAAAACAGACCTCACGTTGGTAAAAAGCTATGCAAAAGAAAGTAGCAGCAGAATTCAAACAGGTCATGGCACGAAAGCCTTCCAACCATTTCAGCTTCCCCATTTTAGATGTCAATAGAGGAAAAAAAATGACATAAAACACCACGCAAAGTCCCGTCTGCAGCTATTCCCGTTGGCAAAAGGAGCCTCTTTTCCTGGTGCTCCCCGTTCAGTGCCGGATACTGTGGCTTTCTGAACTGGCTGGCATCAGCCCCACGAACCAACGCTCATTAACGCAGCTCCGAGTCGTGTCAGGGAATCTGCAAACAGGAAGGCCATTTGCTGACTCAGCACTAATTGAGGCACTCTGTGACCAGCCAATGCGCCGCACAGCTGACGGGAGTCGCAGTGGTGCCTTGCTGCCTCCCCCTCACCACTTCCTGCCCCAAAGTTGCCTGCAGCTCTGAAACAAGAAGTGATGTCACACACAGGAACCCTACAAGAGGCAACTGAGTTTTTTCAAGCTAAACACTTAAGAAACAATGGGAGTCACCCAGCAATACCCGTATAGGGGCGCAGAGGAAAGGGACGGTGCGCACATCACGTCTAATTTTGCCATTTCTAGCTGTTTGGATGTAACACAGATGCAACCAACCTCACTATTTTCATGTCCGAGTATGTTAACATCAGCTGAAAGCGATCCTCCTCTCAAATAGGAGCCAAAAGAGAAGTCAGTGATGAAAGACCAAATGAAACATCTAGGTCTTTCAAGAATTATTATTTTTTGTTAATACCCAAAGGAAACAAAGTTCCATTTCCAAGTGTATTTTCTCCGCTTCCCCCAGCGCCGCAGTGAGCAGTCCTGCCTCTACTGCAATCAGTTTACAAACAGGTTTTATTCTTAGTTCCCACCGCTGCAGCTCTGGGTGTGGTATCTTCAGGAACAGGAAAAGCTGTGCACACGCTGTTCAAAAGGACAATGCGCACGAAACTGAACTGGAACCAAGGAAAAGGTTAACTTCATGTGGGCGTCTGCTTCAACAGATCTCCACACAGAGACAGCTGCTAAAATGCATTCGTCCTAAAAGAAAACTCAGTATTGGAAATCCCATTCTTTGATCTCAAAGCTATTGATTAGTTACATGACACCGATGGAGGGTTTGCACTCTGTACTTCTGCAACACGTGCAATCAGAGGACAACCTTCTTGGACAGGCTTCAGAGACAGGTTTTCTGGCATATGCAGAACAGTGAAATAACCCCAGTTCTACCATTTGGAAACGAGCAGCAGAGAGGTGAGACAAACCCATCATGGAAATGCACAGAAGACTGAGGAATTCTGAAATCCCAGTTTCAAACCACAATATCACCACAACCTATCAGTTCCAAAACAGCTGAGAGAAGCCCCACTGTACAGACGACAAAGCTATCTGTAATTGATTAGTAAGCTAATCAATTGCAACGTTAAAATATCTAAACCACAACTCTAAACAGTAAGACACACACACTAAGCTACGTATCACTGAGCCCAGCTGTACTCACGTTGATGTAATAGTCCGGAAGCGCTCCTGTCCAGCTGTGTCCCAGATCTGTAGCTTCACCTTCTCTCCATTGATCTCCACTGTCCGGATTTTAAAATCCACTCCAATTGTGGTAATGTAGCTGCCTGAAGGGAAAGCGTGGATAAGTGAGAACCTAACTCTTGTCTGTTTGGAATGTCCCAAAGCACACTTCTGAATGCTGTTTGGCAGCAGCTCTCAGATTGGACAGGAGAACAAGGTTCCCACTATCTCCTTATCTTTTAAAATGCTCTATCAGGTCGTGCTGATCCGCATATTTCTATCTGCAGCTAATCGCTGTTTTCGAGCCATAAAGCCAATTCTCCTACCCTTAAAATTTAAAGCTCAGTGTTACAAAATCAAATTATTCTTCTACCGCATTGGTGGTCAAGAGTAAGCACTCCAATGTCTCAAGAAGTGGACAGTAACTATGTGAGGATTTCATTTGTGAAATTTTTGAGACAAAGCTTTGCTTTAAATGCTTGTGCAATCACTTATTTTGAATACAGTCTGTTCTAACAGTTTCCTCCCAATAAATCAAGTTATGTCACAAATGTAAGTGGTTTAGCCACAATATTCAATCAATCTAAATCCCAAACGGGCAATAAGAAGTCTGCACAGAGTACAGCATAAGCTAAAAAACCTAAGCTACTTCTGGAACTATGTCAGTATTTAAATACTGAGGGATTTTCAGTTACAAGTGAAGATCAGACAGGATGGCTTGTACAGGCTTAGGCCAAAAGAAGCAAAGTTAGAAACAAAATATATTCCCAGAACAGCTATTAGTGGGTAAATGCAGAAGAACAATTCCTTGCTGACCAGCAGCACTGGAGCAGATCATGACCATTTCACTTCCTGAGGTAAACAAAACACTCACCTGAGAAGGTATTATCTGCAAAACGCAACAGCAAACTGCTCTTGCCCACACCTACGACAAACAGAGACAGCAAGATCTTTGAATACAGTCATCTTGGGTGGCAGGTAACACAACAGGGCTTTACCCATTCATTGCATTTTTAACTCTAACTAGGACCTTTTCTCAGCAGATAATTTGGTACCGTCCACCTTGACCATTCACCTCAGTACTCTCCTCGAAGATTTGGTCAAGCACAAGGCTCAGTATGTTCCTTGTAGCAATGCAGGGCAGGAGGGGGGTGTCCCCTCCTTCCTCCAGCCCTCATCAAACTCTCAAACAGGAGCTCTTGAACCCTGGTCAGTTCTAAGAGCTCATAAAAAAGCAAGTTCACAGTCAGCAGACTTGCATTTGCCGAGGCAAGATGCAAAAATGAGTATGCCAGGCTAGCTAACAAGTACTCAGATCACTGCTCTAAACCACGCTATTGAATTCCACTTGCACATCACGCTTCACACCGCTGCCTACCTCCCATTCAGCGAGGCCGCGCTGAACGGCGGTGGAATTTGGACTACTTAGACAATCAGACTAGGGTTTGGTACTATAAAGCTTATGTTATCATGGCCACAGTTTCACAGAAGCCTAAACCAAACAGGGGAGTAGGGAACCATTGTTCTATACTGCCATCCAAAACAGGCTTGTTCCACATCCAACGGGAAGGACACACGCATTTCTGAAGTTGTATCTTTTACCAAAACGTTCCCAAAACATTTATCTAAGTGCTCTGAGTAGCACTTCATCCAGGTTTTCCTTATATTATTGTTTGCACCTGGATCACACCCTGTTGCAGGGAAGCATTTTTCACAGGGCTTCACATAAGAATCATAAGAAACTCATTCCTGCCCACCCGACCAAGGGAATCTGGGTACCACAACACCTCAAAGTTGTTATCTCTGCATAAAGTCTCTGCTGTTAATGCCCCTTCCTCTCCCTTCTCCCCCCAAAAAAGAAGTCTGCTATGGCATGAAGAGGAAATTCAACTTCACCAGGGTGATTATCTATTAAATCTTTGCAGGTAGAAATTATTTAAACTAATTGCTTTGATGATGTACAATTTGCAAGCTCTTCTTACCAGAAGACCTGTGCAAAAGGCATGTGCAAAGCCTATGTAGAACTCCAATGGTTCTCAGCTGCTGCTGTCTGAAGATGGCTATCAGTACAAAAAAACCCAACCTATCAACCAACCAACCAACAAATCTACATGATTTCAGTAAGCCAGATCTCATTTGCAAACAGTTCAAACCACCAGATATCTGGAGAAACCATGATCACTTCTCACTGGTATTACAAATCTGAAAGAAAAAAAAAGAATGCTACTAAAAAATCCAAAGTTACAGTGTGAATACCCTGAAAACCTCTGAGCTCAAACATGGCAGCAGAGCAGCTCCTAAACCTTAACAGAGGAGTGGTTATTTAGCAATGGCTAAATCCCTGCAAAATACCAGTTGGCTAAAGTAAAAAAACTAAACAGCAAATAAAAAACCAAACAGAACCAAATAAAGGTTTCAGCAAGCACCATGCTTCTTGATTAAGCAGCCTAGGCCTTCAGCTGAATAAAAAGAAGGTGGATGCTGGAACTCACAGACCTGTCAGACCACACCACCTTCTTAAACCCGTCAGCCAGGCTCAGGCTGCGCCGCAGAGCTGCACATGACCACTGCTTTGTCAGACTGTCCACGGCGGCACAGACAGGCTCTGGTCTGCACTGCTCTCAGCACTCAGAGAAACCTCCTGAGCTCAGGAAGTTCTACACGCTCCTGATGACAACCATCTCACTAAACAAACACTGTCTTTGACCCACGCTGTTCACACATAGAGAAACCACACTCTTCGTGACCCTCCGCTTCCTACGCGGATTTTCTTGAGGAGATGCAAAGAGGAGGCTAGCAGGGCCTCGTTGCTTGTTGAAGACAGCAAAATGAAACCAACAAACAAAAAGCCTCTTGGCTTTGCAAAACCAAAATTAAAACAAGTTCTGTGCCGTACCAGTTTCTAAACTCTATCTCACTGAATGGTAGAAGGAATTAAAGAAGCACAAATTAATTACAGCACACGCAAAGCACAGATCGTCTGTATTATTTTTAAATATGTGGCACAACTGAAATCACCAGCAGCTTTTCAAGATGACCTGTTCTAAAAACACGAAAACCTACTACCCTCTTGACATATTTGCATACAGGGGAAAGCAAATGAGACATAATCATCCTATCTAAGTATCAGTCCGCTTCCTATTGCAAGGAATAAACATCAATAAACAAGGCAAGCAAACTGTTTTGTGAAAGCAGAGACAAAGCCTTCCTGTTGGACTTAGCAAAAACAAAAACAAAAAAGGAAAATCAATACTTAAACTACTTAGTGAGATTTAATTACAGCACCAGAGAACTGCAGGAAACCCGACAGCTCTCACAACACTTTTTTCCTCTCCCTGGATACACTACAGGGACTTAAGAAGACTCAGCTAAGAAATTTCATTTAATTGTTCAAAAGGAGAAGAAGTCTTCCTCAGAGTTGTCACCATCCTGTTTATCTTGCCTGAACAGTTTTGAAACTCATCAGCAATCACCAGAGTTACTGCTTCACTCAGAAGGCAGCATTTGGTTTTAATAACCCACAGGCTCCCCAAAGTGCCTAGGGCTTTGAGGTATTTTGAAGCTGTTGCCCTTTCTCCCTCTTTAGATCCCTTCCTGCAGACAGAGTTTAGTACAGAATAAAACATTTTTACATACAGCTAAAGCTTCTTGGAGGTGACAACTGCCAAGATCGAGCAACATTACACTTTCATCCAGGAGCCGTGCCTCGCTGCATGCTGGGACCTGCTGCCTTATGGACCACACCTCTATTAAAAGAAGAGGGTGGATGCCATCTTCTCCACTTTATGGAAATTAAACTGTAAGCTGTTGGAGTGTTACCAACACTGAACCGGACTGAAGGCAGGAATCTTCCCAGTCCCAGTTCTAAAGCACCAGACACAGGCTGAGTTCACACGCTAGCCCTCCAGAAGTTTCCAAAACTGCTGCAGAAGTACTGACAAGTCTATCTGCAAACATTCATAACTCCCCCTTACCCATAACTATGTTAGGTATTTGCATCCTATGCTATAACTGCAAGTAGACAAAAGTACCAGCTCTTCAAGGATTTATTTTTTAAAAAGTGACAAACTCCAGAACTGAGACTTCAGCTCGAAGCGTGGAAAGAGTCCTCAGGAATAATTAAGATAATAAATACTATTAAAATACAGTTGCCACACTAGAAACAATGGTCCCTAGGGCTGAGGAGCAGCCAGCCGTTCCC